ACTGCACTCCAGTCTGGGCGACCGAGTGAGACTCCAACTCAAAAACAAAAACAAAAAAACTGTAAGGTAAACAAGACAATTCATATGTGATGATTTTAAATGCACCCAGGAAAGTATGGTCAACTTCACTTGAATGAGGTGTTTACTGTCCAGAAAAGCAGAAGCAAACAGATGACAAATCTTGGATGAGGGCACTCTTATCAACTGTGTAAACCATGAATTTTCTGAAGGGCTTTCTATCAGCTTAAGTAGGACTCTGCTAATAGCCAACAGGCAATCTGAAAAAGGAAATGGAAATATAAAACCCTCATCCTCAGTCAGGCAATGTTTGGCTCCCTGACGACACCTGCTGGCTAAAAAAAAAACGAATTTAAAAGCTTTTCAGTGAAAACAAATCATTCCATTGGAAATTATTTAATGGCTCTGCCCAGTCCTTAGTTTGGAGTCACCAAGGCTATAAGAAATAAGTGTGATGTGCTAGGAGTACCAGACAACAGGGTGCTTTGAAAATGTAATGCCGGCGGGGTGCGGTGGCTCAAGCCTGGAATCCCAGAGCTTTGAGAGGCTGAGGCAAGAGGATTGATTGCCTGAGACCAGAGGTCTGATACCAGCCTGGGCAGCTTGGCAAGACCTCATCTCTACAAAAAATTAGCTGGGTGTGGAGGCACGTGCCTGTAGTTCCAGGTACTTGGAAGGCTGAGGAAGGATCACTTGAGTCCTGCAGGTCAAGGCTGAGGTGGCCATGAGTGTGCCACTGCGCTCCAGTTCTGGGCAACAGAGTGAGACTCCCAACTCAAAAAAAAAAAAAAACAAACCTATAATCAAAGCATTTTGGTAGGCCAAGGTAGGAGGATCGCTTGAGCCCAGGAGATGGAGACCAGACTGGGCAACACAGTGAGACTTTGTCTCTTCCAAAAATAAAAATTAAATTAGCTGAACATGATGGCATGTGCTTGTAGTCCCAGCTACTCGGGAGGCTGAGATAGGAGGATCTCTTGAGCCAAGGAGTTTGAGGTCATGGCAAACTGTGATCATGCTATTGTACTCTAGCCTGGGTGACAAAGTACCTTCTCTTAAAAAAAAAAGTAATGCTCTTTTTTATAAGGCAGCCTAGGAAGTTGACATCTCCAAGTGACTCCAAGCATTCTTTGGGGAAAAGTGTTCCACACACACATATTTTTTTTCTACATGTATTTTAATGACAGCAAAATGCCACTCCAGAGGACTCTTAAAATATTATTTAAATTTATTTCTGTGACATAAATTCTCACTAGATTTGTATCTCGTGATATAAATTCTGACAACAGGCATTTAAGGGATTCCACAATCTAGCCCATCCCACCCGGCCCCACGAAGCCTTCTTAGCCCTCAACTCCCTCGTCACAGTCATTAGCTTGGACTCCTACTTCTATAGCATTTAGAGTAGTACATACTTTTTTTTTTTTTTTGAGTCCAAGCCTCACTTTGTCGTCCAGGTTAGAGTACAGTGGCATGCTCACGGTCATCCCAGCGTCGACCTGCTGGGCTCCGGCGATCCTTCTGCCTCAGTCTTCCAAGTAGCTGGAACTACAGGGGCATGCTACCAAGCCTGGCTTAATTTTTTAATATATTGTAGAGGTCTCGCCAAGTTACCCAGGTTCTTCTCGAACCCGTGGGTGCAGGCAATCCCCTCACCTCAGTCTCCCAAAGTGCTGGGATTGCAGGCTTGAGTCACTGTACCCGGCCAGTACCACACTTTTAAAACAGATGTTCTTTTTTAGAGCATATTCACGACAAAATCAAGCTATACTTATTTTATATGAGTCCACCTTCATGAATACTGTAAAAGCACTGACTCAATCCTCCTCTTCAGAAACCTCACCCAGGCTGGCATACGGCCCCACAGAGGCGAGACCCCAGGAAAGGCAAACTAATGCAGGACAAGAGGCACAGCAGGAATGTCACTGGCACAGCTGCCGTAGGTCAGCACCACTTCTAGGCCACCTGTGTGAGCCAGAATCAAGGCAGCCCTCCACTGAAGAAATATACAGAGCCCTTACCGCCAGGCTGCACAGTGCAAAATCTGCACAACCATGCGTAGCAGCTCTGTGTTCATCCTTCCCAGTAACTCAAGTCTTGGGTTCCCAACCAAGGGGCAGAAAGAAAAATAGATATGGATTCATATCCACTGTAGATAACCAAAACTTGTTATTTTGCCTTATTGTTTAATGTAACAAAGGGAGACAATATATCAGCTACATCAGAAGGATGCTATATGAATAAATAAAAACTATCTATGATGATTTATGGGTTAGTAGGAGAAATATAAAACTAAAGTATAAATATACTGCAGACTGTTTCTCTGCAGTATACTTAAGTAATACTCAAAGCCAATGTCATAAATTCATTATCAGGAAAAGTGTTCTTCTGTTAAACTTTAATTCAAATTCAAATCAGCAGGCCAAAAAAATGTATTTAGCAGATTAAAACTAGCTTTTAAAAAATGAAATAGAGCCGGGCTCGGTGGCTCAGCCTGTAATCCCGCGCCGTGGGAGGCTGAGGTGAGTGGATTGCCTGAGCCCGCGGGTTTAAGACCTGCCTGGGCAACTTGGCGAGACCTCATCTCTACAATAAATCAAAAAAATTAGCCGGGAGTGGTAGCGGGTGCCTGTAGTTCCAGCTACTTGGAAGGCTGAGGCGGCAGGATCGCCGGAGCCCAGCAGGTCGAGGCTGCGGTGGCCGTGAGCGGCCACTGTACTCCAGTCTGGGCAACAGAGTGAGACTCCAACTCAAAAAAAAAAAAAAAGAAATAAAACAGAAATAGAAAATAGATGACTCAACAAATAGTATGAGTAATTTCTACAAATTTTTTTTTTTTAGTTATACAAATATATACATCAAAATCATATAACATAGTTTATAGTGGGGAGAGTAGTCAAAAAGTTGGAAAAAACTAATATTTCTTCACTCAAAAAGAGCATTTTTAGTCTTTAAAAAAACTGATATTTTCCACTAATTTTAACAATAGTTTAAAAATAAAAGTACAGAAAATAACCTACTCAAAGTCTAGACCGCAAAAAAACTTTTGACTAAAATTAGCACAGGTTAACCTCTTATCATATTACTCTAAATCAAATGATACCACAAAACTCTGTAAATAGACATTTCTAATCAGCAACAGATGAACTAATTAGTTCAAAAAGTCTTTGATATAACTAAATTCAAAGGAAATGGACCCTTTGGAGTTCCTTCTAGTGGGTGTGACTTTTTTCTCAAAAGTTGACATCAATTCTGACAAACTGGGGGAGGGGTGAGGGGACAGAGAGCAAGAGACAACACTTACCTGCCGGGAATTTCAAAATCAAATGCTTTTTGAAAACTTACTTTCATATTTATCCTTTCCCATGTAAATAGTGTAAGCAGATGAGTTCACTAAGACAAAACAAAAATAAAAAAAATTAGATAACTTCATCACCAACAAACTGCTTCATGTGAAAAACAAGTGACAATGCTTAGATTAGAGGCAGTAAGCCATGACCCTGGGCCAATTCCAGTCCACTACCTGTTTTTGGACAGCCTTTGAGCTAAGAATGGTTCTTAAGGGGTTGGGAAAAAAAGCAAAACAAAGAATAAGCTACTGAGACTGTATGTGGCTGACAAAGCCTAAAATATTTACTATCTGGCCGAAACAGAAACGTTTACCATCCTTTCTTTCTTACTTTCTTAGGGACAGAATTCAATGGCAATCTACGGTTTAGTCCTATACATTTGCCCTTTTTTTTTGGAGTCAAAGTCTCACTGTTGCCCAGGCTGAAGTGCAGTGGCATGCTCATGGCCACCACAGCCTCGACCTGCTGGGCTCAGGCGATCCTTCCATCTCAGCCTTCCAAGTAGCTGGAACCACAGGCGGGAGCCATCATGCCTGGCTGATTTCTTGATTTATTGTAAAGACGAGGTCTCACCAATTTGCCCAGGCAAGTCTCGAACCCCTGGACTCAGGCAATCCTCTCGCCTCAGTCTCCCAAAGTGCTGGAATTACAGGCATGAGCCACGGTGACCGGCTTTACTTTTGCCTTCTCTAAGAATTAAAAAACAAAATTAAAAAACTGCTTACCTCAAGTATTAAAAAATAAGATCCTAGCCGGGTGCAGTGGCTCACGCTTGTAATCCCAGCACTTTGGGAGGCTGAGGCAAGAGGATTGCCCGAGTCCATGGGTTTGAGACCAGCCTGGACAACACGGCAAGACCACGTCTCTACAATAAAAAAATAAAAATTAGCCAGGTATAGTGCACACGCCTATGGTTCCAGCTACTTATAAGGCCGAAGTGGAAGGATTGCCTGAGCCCAGCAGGTCAAGGTTGCAGTGGCCATGAGCATGCCGCTGCACTCCAGTCTAGGCAACAGAGTGAGACACCAACTCAAAAAACAAACCAACAAAAAATACAAGATCCTCTGTTTACCCAAATTTTATTTAGCCAATATTCGTTATAGTCCAGATGTACTGCAAACTCCACTGGACTCATACCCTATTCAGGGAAATCATGGTTCTCAAACCTCTAAATCAGTGACTGTGAACCCTGAATGTACATTAGAATCATCTAACTATGTCCCAGCTCCACTTCAGATCAACTCAATCCAAATCTCTGGTAGGGGTGAAAGTAAGCATCTGTTTTCAAAAAGCCTTCCAAGTGGTTCTAATGTGAAGTCAGGGTTAGAAACAACTATCCTAAATAAATTCTGGATATGGCTTATCTTAGGAATAACACTTGCTTTACAGAAGTAGTGTGTTTTTTGTTTGTTTGTTTGCTTTTTTTGAGTTGGAGTCTCACTCTGTCGCCCAGACTGGAGTGGGCGCCCAGCCTAGACCTGCTGGGCTCCGGCAATCCTTCCGCCTCAGGCTTCCAAGTAGCCGGAATTACAGGCATGCACTACCACGCCCGGCTGATTTTTTTTTTTGCTTTATTGTAGAGATGAGGTCTCGCTGCCCAGGCAGGTCTCGAACCCGCGGGCTCAGGCAATCCACTCACCTCAGCCTCCCAAAGGCGCGGGATTACAGGCCGAGCCACCGAGCCTGGCAGAAGTAGTGTGTTTTAATATGACCATCCCTGATGAGAAATTTAAAAGTTAAGTTTCTTACTGAAATTATAACTACATTGATGGGTTTTCAAGCTAGTCTAGCAAAACTTGTTCGATCCCAATAGGATCTAAACTCCCTAATTAACAGACACTGGGTCCCAGGTTACAAAGCCTGAGACAGATAAGTACCGAGGCATAAATACCGACAGGTTTAGGGTTGGGCTGGACAATCCATCCGCGGTCACTCCAGAGCACAGAACACATACACGTGGGTGGAGCTCTGAAGGCCAGGGAGCAGCAGCTCTCATAAATAAACCCTCCCGTTAGGAAGTGCTGCACTTTCAGTAGTGAGAAGCCTCTTACATGATCAATCCCAGTTGCCTTTGGGGGGAAGAAAAACTCTCAATTCCTTCAGTGAGCAATTATGATGACTATAGTCCATATCATTTGGAAGTCGTTGAGAGAAATAATCCAAAAGAAAAGAATGTTTGCACTGACTAGTTTACAGAAATGCTTGTCTATAATTGAGCATTATATTAGCCTGCTAAGTCCTTAGCACAGCATGTGACAAGTGTCAAAAGGGTGAGAATTAAACTAAAAAGTATTTCAGTTTCTTTCTGCATGGTCTGGCAATATTTCAAGGGTACATCCTTTTACCCCTACAATGGCATCATTAGGAGTATATCCTATCAAAATGCTCCAACAAGTAATGATCTTTTTACAACCTCAACATCCAGCAATAGAGACTGGTTAAATATATTATATAATATCCATAAACAAAATACCGTGTACCCATTTAAAAGAGAGGACAGGTGAATAAGTACCAGAATAGTATTTTTGTGGTATCTACATATAGTAAGACTCAATTTACAAATAATAAATGAATATATAATAGTGTATGTATATATACATCTTTACATATATATTTTTACTATAAGCAAACATTTCCTTTATATTCATATAGAAGGCTCACAAGGTAACAACAGTTACCTTGGGCAGCTTGCTACAGAACATACAGGTGGCTTTCATAATTAGAACAAAAGTAATTTTAAAAATAATTGAAGCCAGATATGGTGGCTCACACCTATAATGCCAGCACTTTGGGAGGCAGATTGCCTGAGTCCAGCGGTTCAAGTCCAGCCTGGACAGCTTGGCAAGACCTCATCTCTACAATAAATAAAAAATTAGCCAGGTGTGGTGGCACGTGCCTGTGATTCCAGCTACTTGGAAAGCTGAGGCAGAAGGATCGCCTGAGCCCAGCAGGTTGAGGCTGCAGTGGCCATGAGTGTGCCACTGCACTCCAGCCTGGGCAATAGAGTGAGACTCCGACTCAAAAATAAAAATAAAATAAAATAAAATAATTGATATAGGCTGGGCTCAATGGTTCAGCCTATAATCCCAGCACTTAGGGAGGCTGAGGCAAGTGGATTGCCTGTGACCGTGGGTTCAAGACCAGCACAGGAAACTTGGCGAGAACTCATCTCTACAATAAATAAAAAATTAGCCAAGCATGGTAGTGTGTACGCCTGTAGGTCCGGCTACTTGGAGGACTGAGGTGGAAGGATCGCCGGAGCCCCGATGCTGGGGTGGCTGTGAGCGTGCCACTGCACTCCAGCCTGGGCGACAGAGTGAAATTCCAACTTAAAATAAATAAATAAATAATTGATATAAAATAAAGTTGTCTCTGCAGGACAAGCTACCTAAGTTACAGCCAAGAGAACGACAGAGGAATGTTTTGATGGTTGGCCTATTAAATAAGGTGATTAAGAAAATGACTGTGCTAGGCACAGTGGCTTACACCTGTAGTCTCAGCACTTTGGGAGGTGGAGGCAACAGGATTGCCTGAGCCCAAGGGTTCAAGACCAGCCCGAGCAACTTGGCGAGGCCTCATCTCTACAGTAAATCAAAAAAGTCAACCAGGCATGACGGTGCATGCCTGTGGTTCCAACTACTTGGAAGGCTGAGACAGAAGGACTGCCTGGGCCCAGCAGGTTGAGGCTGCGGTGGTCGTGAGCGTGCCACTGCACTCCAGCCTGGGCGACAGAGTAAGACTCCTACTCACAAAAAAAAGAAAGAAAGAAAGAAAGAAAATGTCCACACCAAACCTGAACTGAGGGCCATTCTACAAAGTAATGCAATTATCAATGTCATGAAAGACAAAGACTGAGCAACTGCTCTAGATTAGAGAAGGCTAAAGAGAATGACAACCAAATACAACAATGATTTGCAAGGGTTTTTCTTGTTATAAATACATTATTTGGACACTGATGAAAACTTAATAAAGCCCATTGGTTAGATTAACAGTATTGTTGCAATGTTAAATTTCCTAATTTTGATAATGAAGAATTTCTTTTAAGAAGAGCATGCCCTTGATTTTAACAAATAAAACGAAAGCATTTAGGGGTTAACTGCAACTTGTTAACAAATGATTCAGGAAAACGCTGTGTGAAAAAGAGAGAAAAATAAGGAGAAAGGGAGAAAGAAAGATAAGACAGATGTGGTAAAATGTTAGAATTTGGGGAATCTAGGAAGACACACAGAAAATCGTTTACTATTCTTGCAACTTTTCAGGGCTGAAATTATGTCAAAATAGAACATTAAAACTAAAATAGGAACATGATTGTTGAGCAAAAGTCTGAATTAAGCTCCTTTCCAGAAGGAAACTTCAACGGAATTATTCTAAGTTTGTTATTATCACCCAAATAATATGGTTGATTAGTATGGAAACTAGTTATTTCAAAGATGCCTGACTGAAGTACAGAAACAAACCCAACTTGAGGTTCTGTGATAATTTCACAATTTACAGAGTGATGTCTTTTCAGAAAGGTGATATTAACAGGTATTAAAAGTATAAGCAGAGTCAGGCTCACACCTGTAATCCCAGAACTCTGGGAGGCTGAGTCGAGAGGATCACTTGAGCTGAAGAGTTCAAGACCAGCCTGGGCAACACAGTGAGACCTTGTCTCTACTTAAAAAATAAAAAAAATCAGCTGGGCATAGTGGTACGTGCCTGTAGTACCAGCTATTTGAAAGCCTGAAGCAGGAGGAAAACCTGAGCCCACGAGGTCAAGGTTGTGGTTAGCTGTGATCATGCATTCCAGTCTGGGTGACCACTACTCAAAAAAAAAAAAAAAAATTTAATGTTCAATTATTCCCTTATGAGAGAGTACAAAAAAATGAAAATGGAGCAAATTTTAGTCAGAGATACTCATCTTAAAATGACAGGTAAAACAAAAATTTTTACTGGAGATTTTCCTCCCATTTTAAAAGTTTTTATAAGGTTGGGCCAGGTGTGGTGACTCACGCCTGTAATCCCAACACTTTGGGAGACTGAGGCAGGAGGATCCCTTGAGACCAGGAGTTGAAGACCAGGCTGGGCAACATAAAGAGACCCCATCTCTCTAAAAAATAATAATAAGTTTTTAGAGTAAGCCATTAGTCAGTTGAAAACTTGGCTATTCATACAAATTCATTTCCTGCAGACTCTATATGTTCGAGTTTTTTCTGTACTGCCAATATGTGCAGTTTCACTACGATTTTACTGGAAAAGTTATGATTTTTCCATTAACTTTGCAATAAAAGATCTGCTGCACAATGCAGTTTTATTAGACTCAAAGGCAAATACTTTTCTAACAGGAAACAGTTCTGACGTTGTAACTGAAGTCCCTCAAAAAAACCCAGGATGCATAGATCTTCTGAAGTTTTCTGTTCTATTAAGGGCACCTGTGGATGCAGGACTCGTGCTTAAAGAATTTAGAATAAGGCCAGGCATGGTGGCTCATACCCATGATCCCAGCACTTTGGGAGGCTGAGGCAGGAGGAATGCTTGAACCCAGGAGTCCAAGACCAGCCTAGGCAACATAGTGAGACTTCATCTCTACAAAAAAAGTAAAAAATTAGCTGGGCGTAGTGGCACATGCCTGTAGTCCCAACTACTGGAAAGGCTAAGGGGAAAGAAAGATCAGGTAAGCCTACAAGGTCGAGGTCACGGCACTCTAACCTGGGTGACAGCATGAGATCCCCAACCCCATCTTTAAAAAATAATAATTTAGAACAGCTTTAAGGGGACCAGAGCAGCCACCATAAGATACATTTAGTACCTATGTACCCTGCCTGCCAGTTTTCTTTCCATTTTTGGGCCTGTATGGATAGCTACATTGTTGGGGACTGTCATGAGTGGAGAAGCTATCAAGAAATGTCTGCGTTCCCAAGGATGAAAATGCTTGGAGAGCCATAAGGATGTACAATTTTTCAGACTAGTTTTGAATTTTGTTTCTAGTGATCGTAATAATATGGGTAAAACAAAACCAAATCTACAGAGGCAGAGAAATAGCGTACGGGACACCGTGGAAACCTAAACACTTGAGAAAAATAATGAGATGTGACATTGTGATGAAAATGGAGGAGGAGGGGTATCTGTGAGTGACAGCTTCTGGGCCTCAATCGTTTCATCTGTGACAAAAACGAACCATGCAAACAATGTGGCACTAGTGTCACTTAAATCTTACCTTCAACAAGCAATCCTAGAGCAGCAGTAGCACAGAGTGCCACAAGTGTCAAACACATCACTCATTTATTCAACAAGCATTTATTAAGAACCATTATTGGCCAGACACTACGTAGCGTTAAGGAAACAAACACAGTCATCGGCCCTTATCTGAGGGGGACATGTTCCAAGAACCCCAGGAGGTGCCTGAGACGAATGATGGTCCTGAAGCCTAGTTAGGTGCCACACAATGATGCTCTGGACAATGATAACCTGCATGTACCAAGGGGGTCACGTAAGATTATAATGGAGCTGAAAAATGACTCTCTCCCAGTGACCTCGTAGTCATTGTACCACAATGTAGCCCAGCACATTAATTTTTCTTTTTTGTTTTTTTTTTTGAAAGCAGGATTTACAGAAAGGACAGAAAAGCTCCCACGGTGGGAGGGGACCCCGGGGGGTTGCCCCACATTAACTTTTCTATGTTTAGCCATGCTTAAATACACAAATACCAAGTGTTATAACGGTTTAGAGCATTCAACACAGCAACAGGCCGTACAGGTCTGTAGGCTAGGAACAATAGAGTATGTCACACAGCTTAGTTTTGTAGTAGACTATGCCATCTAGGCTTGTGTAAGTATTCTGTGATGCTGAACAACGATGAAACCGCTGACAGATGCATTTCTCAGGACATATTCTCATTGTACTGTGGTATTTCCTATCCATAAGTACCTATAAAGCCTGATATATACATTAGCCACTGGAAGAGATTAACAATTCTAATAATAGAGTACTTATAACAACACACTATAACAAAAGCTATATAAATGTGGGGTTTCTCTCTCAAAATCTCATTGTACTGCACTCAACCCTTCTTGTGATGATGTGACCACAGAAAGCCAAACCGAGGACAAGCGGGGAATACAATAAAGAGATCCCTTGGCCGGGCGCAGTGGCTCACGCCTATAATCCCAGCACTTTGGGAGGCCGAGGTGAGAGGACTGCCTGAGCCCACAGATTCGAGACCAGCTTGGGCAACTTGGGGAGACCTTGTCTCCACAATCAATCAAAAAATTAGCTGGGCATGGTGGCGCATGCCTGTAGTTCCAGCTACTTGG